CCGTCAAAGCAGCGCCCCTTAGACCTGTAGGGCCTGGTCCCCCCGGGATGGGACCACAATCTCCAGATGCAGGCAGGCTCTTCAGAAGCTATGTGAAGCCCAGGGCACCCAGCGACTGGTGGAACTTCTGGGCTGGAAGAGCTTGCAAAAGCCAGCAGGTCTCCTGGATGTGTCCTGGTGAGGGAACTCAGTACCAGCCTCAGATGGCAGCACCCTCAGCAGAGTGGTTTTGCAGGGGGCTGGGATTTCTCCGTGGGATGAAGGGAAAGAAGGGGTAGAATGAACGAGACACAGCCCCTGGGTATTTCTTCTTCCACACTGAACTCTCCTTGACAACCCAGAAGCAGACTTTCCTGAGGCTGTGTCTGCCCGGCTGACCAGACGTGGGTGTGAAGTAACGTTGCCACGTTGTGGCCTTTCCCCACAACTACAACTTATTTAATTTAAAAAAAAAAACCCTTAAAAAAAAACAAAACGTGTTTATGGACACTTTTTATTCACTAACCCTGTGGGGCTGGAAATGACACTTGTCCTCGAGAAATGCCCTGGGGTAGGGCAAAAAAAAATCAAAAGATGGCCAACTTTCAAAAAGCCAATTTCAAGAGGTAGCTTTCATTCACATGGTTTGAAAAGATTAGGAGAAAAAAAAAAAAAAAAAAACACAGTGGAAAGATGCTCCACAAGACTATTGTTAGAGAAATGCAAATGTGAACTGCAAGGAGATATCACTTCACACCAGTCAGAATGGCCATCAGCAACATGTCTAGAAACAATAAATGTGGAGATAGCGTGGAACATAGAAAACCCTCCTACGCTGCTGTCTGGAATGTAAATTGGTAACAGGCACTGTGGAGAACAGTATGGAGTTTCTTCAAAAACCTAAAAACAGAGCTGGCACGTGATCCCACCATCCCACTCCTGCGTGAATAACCAGAGAAAACCAGAATTCTGAAAGACACAAGCACCCCAATGTTTAGTGCAGCCCCATTTACAACAGCCAAGACATGGAAGCCATCAGTGTCCATTGACAAACGAACAGAAAAAGAAGATGTGGCACATGTATACAATGGAATATTACTCAGCCATAAAAAAGGGTGAGATGGTGCCACATGGATGGACCTAGACATGATCAAACTAGTGAAGGAAGTCTAACTGAGAAAGACGAACATCATATGAGATTGCTTACAGTCAGAATCTAAAAATTCACACAAATGAATTAATTTGTGCAACACAGAGACTCACAGAATCAAAAAACAAACTTATGATTACCAAAGAAGAAATCAGGGTGGTAGTGATGAATTAGGATGTTGGGATTAACAGATACACAAAAAGGACCTACTGTATAGTACACAGAAGCTGCCCAACATTCTGTAACAACTTATATGGGAAAAGGATCTGAAAAACAGTACATCCATATGTGTGCATAACTGAATCAAGTTGTTATACGGCTAAAACACAATACTAAAAGTCTAAAATAAAACCAAAAAAAAGCAGTGCTTACCACATTCCCCTCAGGCCTTGGGGCCCTGGCTTGGTGTCACATCCCTGGGGCGTGAGCAGGCTTTGGTCTCAAGGTGGAACTCTCAGGGGGCTGAAGGAGCTGGCGGGGCTGAGCCAAAGAGCCCTTTGGATCTGTGGTGCCAAGTCTGCCCCAGATGGGACCACAGTCCAGATTCAGCCAGCCCCTTGAAAAGCTGTTCCAGGTCCAGTGCACCCAAAGATTGGTGGTCCCGCTGGGCCGGAAGAGCTTGAAAAAGTCTCCATGTGTCCTGGTGGCTGGTTCCCACCTCTAGTCTCCTTCAGTGAGTTGTCCCACCTCTAGACAACAGCACCCTCAGTCTGGCCCTTTTGCAGGGGCTGGGATTTCTTCGTGGTGTGAAAGGTCAGTGGGAAGAAGGAACGAGACACAAGGCTCAGGGCATTTCTTCTCCTGTACTCAGCTCTCCTTGACAATCCAGGAAAACTGGTTTAGGGCTCTGGCTGCCCAGGTAACCAGACCTGGGTGTGAAGAGTGCTGCCACCTTGTGGCCACTTCCCATAACTACAACTTTAAAACCCTTGCCTATGGACACTTCCTGGGCTTCCCTGGTAGCTCAGAGGATAAAAAATCTGCCTGCAAGGCAGGAGACTAGGGTTCAGTTCCCGGGTTGGGAAGATCCGCTGAGGAAAGGAATGGCAACCCACTCCAGTATTCTTGCCTGGAGAATTCTATGGACAGAGGAATCTGATGGGCTACAGTCCATGCGGTTGCAGAGCCAGACACGACTGAGCAACTAACATACACGCGTGGACACTTGCTATTCACAAATCTGTGGGGCTGGAAATGACATCTGCCCTCAAGAAATGTCCTGGTGTAGGTCTCGGAAAAAGAATTCAAAACAGCGCTGACTTTCAAGAAGCCAATTTCAAGAGTTACATTTCACTCACGGTGCTTATCTATATTCCCGAAAACAAAGATTTCTTGCAGAGCAGCAATAAACGCTGAAAATCTTGTGGCTTTTTTAGCCATTATGTCCTCGTCACAGTTTCTGTTTCTGATATGCCTGGTGGTTTTTAGAGCAAGTAAAGGTTTCAGAGGAGTGACCAGTGAGTTGCCAGAGCCTGGACGTGTCCAGTACACTGCTGAACTCCAGCATTCTGGCGTGTTGCCACTGAACCCAGCCTGCCCAGTGGTTGGAAGATCTAAGTTTCAATGTCCATCACAACTAGCTCAGTCAAGTGCTGGCATAGCCTCTCATGAAAATGAAACAAAAACACCAGCTGTATTTTCATCCAACAGAACATGTAGAAACTGAACCCAAGGTCAGCATGCGTTGATAAATGTCTGAATTGGGTGACAGTCACCCCTAGTTCATTGGGCTTCCCTGGTAAAGAACCTGCCTGCCAATGCAGGAGAGATAATAGACCAGGTTTGATCCCTGGGTCAGGAAGATCCCCTGGAGGAGGGCATGGCAACCCACTCCAGAATTTTGTTTTGAGAATTCCATGGAGAGAGGAGCCTGGAGGGCTACAGTCCGTAGGGTCACAAAGAGTCAGACATAACTGAAGCAACTTAGGACGCACCCCTAGTTTATTATATCATCCTTTCTAATGTTTTTCAATTTTCAGAAGGAAAAAAAAAGTACATACTTTTCTGTAATTCTCACTAACATAAGATCTTTCCAAGTGTGGATAAATATAAGCCAATAGTTAAATCTGGGGCCGGGTGAGAAGAAGCAGGGAGATTAGAATGGGTAATGTGCTTGATGTTTTTCTGTATATCTCTGTGATGTTTAGTTTATTGCACTAAGCCTATACTACAAGCCTCTTTAGGAAAAAAAAAAACACCTTAAACCAGGTACTTATTTTAAAAAAGATGGCTCTTCATAAGCAAAGACACTGTCTGATAGAAGACCGCCCCTCCACACTAGAATGCAGTCAACAAATATTCGTTGGAACATGCTGTGAGCTCGGGGCTGCCCGGTAGGGAAGCGTGTTCACACACTATATAGAAGTAGTCTCTTGTCCTCTCTGCTAAAGAATCCTTTACCAGACAGTTCATGCCAGGCTGACAGTGGCAAATAAATTCACCCTTCCCTCCATGAAAGGGGACACGAGAAAGACACCTCTTTAAAACACACCTCGGCCTCCTGTTGATCTCAGAAATGTCCCAACCAAGGGACATTTCAGGCCATTTCATTGCACATTTAGATGAGGTTCAGGCTGCTGAAGATCAGGTTCACTGCTGAGAGAGGCCAGTTACCTTCCTCAGAAAAACATAGTGTAAATGTCAGTATAGAGACTTTTCAGGAACAAAGGAATCATCATGATTAGCAGCAAAAGTTTAAATTTTTTAGTTAAAAAGTTAAAATAGAGAGAGACGAACGCAAAATTTTTCTCTTTCCTTTTTTCCCCCTTTTTGACGTTCAGCAGGCAAGGCCTCTGGTGTGTCCTGGAGAGGAGACGAGGTGGGATTAACAGGTAGGTGGGCAGGTGTCTGTTGTGGGGAAAGAACAAGATGTTCACAGCAGGGGAGGACTGTGGAAGCCAAAGTCACCTGTCAGTCCTCCAGGACACCCCTGAGGCCCCATGACCAGCCACCCCTGAGTTTGAAAGACAGCCTCGGGGAAGCTAGCCAGACACCTGCCCATGGACCAGATGTGCCATCAGGAGAGCAGAGTCTTCCCCATAGCAAGTGACCCTAGTAACCGCCCGTGCTCATCACTGAATCGCCAGGGCACACGCTGCTCAAGCAAGTGGCCCCCTGCAATCTTGGTTACGGGGAAAGAAGGGAAGGCAGGAAATTGGGGCTTTGAAGTCTGAATTCCTTTCTCTCTCTCCCAAGTGAGCCCTTTGTCCACCTGGAAGGTTCTGATTGAGAAACTCCAAGTTCAAGGCGGGATCAACTGCAATGATCTTAGGGTTAAGAGTCAGAAAAGGTCAATGGTGTGGAGGAAGGAAAATAATGATATATATAGTGGTGGGGGTTTAATTGCTCAGTTGTGTCCGACTCTTCTGCAACCCCACGGACTGTAGCCTGCTAGGCTCCTCTGTCCGTGGGATTTTCCAGGCAAGAGTACTGGAGTGGGTTGCCACTTCCTCCTCCAGGGAATCTTTCTCACTCAGGGATAGAAACTGCATCTTTTGCATCTCCTGCATTGCAGACAAATTCTTTACCACTGAGCCATCAGGGAAGTCATTGGGACTTCCTAAAAGGCATTCCCTTGCAGTCCAGTGGTTAGGACTCCACATTTCCACTACAAGGTGTTCCATTCCTGGTCAGGAAACTAGGATCCTGCAAGCTGCATGGAGTGATCAAAAAAAAAAAAAAAAGAAAGATTAATAAACAAAAACATCAGTTATATAGAGTTTGCCCTGTGCCAGTGTGTGAATTCCGTACGCATTCCACGTCTACCAATTCATTTAATCCTCAAGACAATCTTACAAGGTTAGTAGTCTCCACTGAGGTGGAAGCTGAGTCTTAGTACCTTGCCCAGATTTCCTAGAAGATGAGTACTTACATTTATAATAAGCAAACTGCAAATAATGATACATGGTAGCCACAAATTTCTCCACTGGATATCCTCCTATGATGGGGGTGAGGTTCTCCTCACACTGTATTTTGCATTCCAGGACCTCCACATAATGATCTGAAAGAACACACAGATTTTCAGGCAGTGTATTCATTATTTTCTTTATGCCACTTCTGCCCCACTCCCCAAAACAATTAAGGCAAAAGTGATCATGATAAAATGATAAAAGTAAAATATTCACACTACTTATGATAAAGGGCCAAAGTCTTTAATACATGAAGCTTGCTAAATCAATAGGAAAAAGACAAAAGCTCGGTATAAAAATAGCCAAAAGGATGCTAACAGAAATTATAAAAAGGGCTAATAAACATTGTGAAAAGATCTTAACCTTATTTGTAATTAAGAAATCCTAAAATAATGTAAGCTATTAAATTGGCAAAATGTTTAAAAGTTGACAACACCCAGTGTTAGGGAGAGAATATTGAGATTCACAGTCTCATATTTTGTTGGTAGGAGCAAAAAAGGAACAATTTTTCTGGAGAACAATTTAACAAAATTTATCAAAGTTTAAAATACACATATTCTCTAACCCAGTAGTCTCCTTCTGGAAAAATTTTCTTTAGACTTGGGCACACATAAGCAAACAAACTTGAAAGTAACCCAAACGCCGATCAGCAGGATGGTGATTAAGAAGTTATGGTACATACAAACAATAGAATCCACACAGGTTTAAAAGAGAGCAGGTAGACCTAAATACAGTCACATAGAAAGATGTGAAAGACTACATTTCCCAGCCACCTTTGCAGTTCAGCTGGGGCCATGTGACTAACTGAGCCAATGAAATGTGGACAGTTAACAACTGATGGATACTACTTCTGGAGCTGGTCCCTAAATCCAGTGTGGTCCTCAGCCCTTCCCTTTCCTCCTTTCAGAGTCCAGCATGATGGTACACATTTTGCCAGCAAGACTGTGGAGGAGTAGGCACTCTCCCTGGTTGGTAGGAATACAAAATAGTACCTTAAAATACCAAATAATTTACTGAAACATTCACCCTCAACCATCAATCCCACTGATGCTGACTTTGCAAACACATTCCCATACTTAGCAAACAACAACAACAAAAAAGAAACCTACTAAAATTCCCCAGTACACTAGTAGATGTAATAGCAAAAGACTGAAAGAAAGTGAAAGTTGCTCAGTCCTGTCTGACTCTTTGCGACCCCATGGGCTATACAGTCCATGAAATTCTCCAGGCCAGAATACTGGAGTGGGTAGCCTTTCCGTTCTCCAGGGGAATCTTCCCAACCCAGGGATAGAACCCAGGTCTCCCGCATTGTAGGTGGATTCTTTACCAGCTGAGCCACCGGGGAAGCCCAAGCAAAAGACTGGAGCAGTCCAGATGTCTATCAGATGGTTGAATAGACAGTAGCACACTCCTCCCCTGACCCTCAATGGAGTACTCAGCAGCAATGAGAAGACTGGCACAACCTCTACGTACTAGTTAGGATATACTGTTAAGTGGGAAAAGCATAACATAGAATGGTGTGTAATGTAGGGTATGTATTCTGTATGAAAGAAGCAGGCATAAAAATAAAGGGGAAAGTGGTTTTATATTCACATAACCTTTAGAGGAAAAAAAGAATTCTCAATACTGTGCTAAATCAGTGCATGGTCAGGGGTGAGGGGGTGGAGATAGTCTGATGGACAGCAAGTTGTCCTAGTCTGGAAGCATCTGTCCATAAATTATTAATTTCAATAGTAATTATATTGGGCAACTGGAGAGCACCTCTCTTTCTAATCAGGACATAACTGAGAAAGCAGACGTTTTTCACAGTATATCCCTTTGTCTTTCACATGCTATAGTATGTGCTTATATTAACTATCAAAAATAAAGTTTGAGATTAAGTATTAATCCAGGGTAACCCCCTCAGGTGAGACACTATTTCCCTGGTTAAGAGGTGAAACCACAGTCAGAACACCTGGGTCTAAATCCTAGCCCTTCCCCTGAGGACAAGAAGCACTGGACTTGGGAGGTGGGGGAAAAAATTAGGAGTTAGTTTGGGATTAAGAGATACACACTGCCAGGTATAAAACAGGTAAACAACGAAGACCTGCTGTATATATAGGGGGGCTTCCCCAGTGGATCAGCTGGTAAAGAACTTGCCTGCCCATGCAGGAGAGGCAAGAAACAAGGGTTTGATCCCTGGGTCGGGGAGAGCCCCAGGAGAAGGAAATGGCAATCCACTCCAGTATTCTTGCCTGGAGAATCCCATGGACAGAGGAGTCTGGCAGGCTACAGTCCATGGGGTCTCAGTCGGACATGACTGAGCAGGCACACCACACACTGTATATATAGCACAAGGAACTCTGCCTAATATCTTGTAATAACCTATAATGGAAATTATATCTGAAAAAAATGTGTGTATATATATGTATTTGTATAACTGAATCACTTTGCTATACACTTGAAACTAACACAACATTGCAAATTAACTCTGCCTCAATTTTTTTTTTTTTTTGCTAAGCCAGGAGTCTTGTTTCCTGACCAGGGATTGAACCTGTGCCCTCAGCAGTGAAAAATGCTGAGTCCTAACCATTGGACCACTGGGGAAGTCCTGAGAATTAGTGTTTGATGGGTTCAGAGTTTCAGTCTGAGAAGATGAAAAAGTTCTGCAGATGGATGGTGATGATGGCCACACAGCAATGTGCAAGATTAAGAAACTAACCCAGTGCAATGTGTGGACTTTATTTTGAACCTGATTAAAAACAACAAACTATAAATTTAAGGGACACACACATATTTATGCCATTTCTAAGACGCTTGGGGCACTGGATATTTGATGATGAGGTCAAGGAAATGTTGTTATAATTCTTTTAGGTATAATAGTTTGGTGGTTATGTTAAAAAAAAAAAGAGTTCTTATCTTTTAGAGGTATCTATTGAAACATGAGAAATGAAATGAGGGAACACCTGGGATTTGCTTTAAAATAAGGTGAGAGGGAAGAGGGGGTTTTTTAGATGACACTCTGCCATGAGTTGACATGAGTTGACAGGTGGCTGTGAGTTGACAATAGCAAAGCTGAGTCATGGGTAAGTGGGCTTTCTTCACATTCTTCTATATTTTGTATATGTTTGAAATATTCCACAATAAAAATGTTTTGTTAAGAAAAATAAAGGTACTCTGTAGAAAAAGAGTTTCACAAGCAAAAATTTACTAAACAACAACAACAACAACAAACAACCATCCTGGATTCAATAACTCCAAAAGAGCTGCCCACCTCAGGGTTTCTGAGAATCATTAACCATCACAGGACACAGAGACTCCAAGAGGCAGACAGCCCTCAGGCTAATTCCAGATTTATCTGACCTGGGTTCCCTTCCTGCAAGGGGCAGTTTGAGGGTCTGTGTTCCCAAACCACTTAGAGACATCTCTTGGTCATTTCCTATTCTCTGGAGCATTGCTTCCCACTAATGGTTAAAGAAAATCCCTAGGGCTATTTATGTGTTTTCAATTTTCTTTTTCTCTTTTTGGCCAAGCCCAAAGGAATGCAGGATCTTAGTTCCTTGATCAGGATCAGAATTGAACCGGTGCCCCCTGCAGAGGAAGCTCAGCATCTTAACCACTGGACCACCAGGGAAGTCCTCAATTTTCATTCTTCACTCTTTCTTGTGCTTTCCAAACTTCTTAAAATAAGCATGCATTATCTTTTAAAATTTTTTTTTAGCATGCATTATCTTATCATCAGAACATGTTTTCTTTTTCCCAAAAATTACCTTGTGTATGTGTGTTAGTCACTCAGTCATGTCTGACTCTTTGTGACCCCATAGACTGTAGCCTGCCAGGCTCCTTTGCCCATGGAATTCTCCAGGCAAGAGTACTGGAGTGGGTTGCCATTTCATCCTCCAGGGGATCTGCCTGACCCGGGGATTGAATCTGGGCCTCCTGCATTGCAAGCAGATTCTTTACTGTCTGAGCCATCAAAGTTACCTTAGTGATCACTAATTAGGGTTCATTATACTCCTCATTTGGAGAAGGAAGCTCCAGCCAAGTCAGAGGCTAATCCATGTCTGTGTCAGCCACCCCAATTAACCCACTCTCATTTAAGCTCAAAAGTTCCTCAGAGGCCACCTGAGTTCCCTAGAAGGCATGTAGAACTCTCAGGCGCAGCTGTGTCTTTTATGTCGAGGATACAACCCGCTACCAACCTGCGATGGAAAGATAGAAATCCTTGAAGTCCCTGATCTCCCGGGAGCCCTCGCAGGCAGCGAGACACTCATAGAAGGCCTTGAAGAAGTCAGGAAGGGCCAGCTCCATGTCGGTGATGCACGTCCTCCAGTTCTCGCCATTGTATGCCCGCACAGCACGGATGAACAGGCTCTGGAATCATCGAAAAGTCTACACATAAAAAACGCTGGAGAGGGTGTGGAGAAAAGGGAGGGATGTCGATTGGGCAGCCACTATGGAGAACAGTAGGATGTATGGAGGTTCCTTAAAAAACTAAAAATAGAGCTACCATATGATCCTGCCATCTCACTCCTGGACATATGTTCAGAAAAAATGAAGGCTCTAATTCCAAAAGATACATACACCATCATGTACATAGCAGCGCTATTTACAATAATCAAGATGTGGGAGCAACCTAAATGTCCATCAACAGGTGAATGGATAAAGATGTGGTACATATATAAAAAATAATGAAATAATGCCACTTGCAGCAACGTTGATGGACCTAGAGATTATCATGCTGAGTGAAGTCAGACAGAGAAAGACAAATATCATGTGATACCACTTATACGTGCAATCTAAAAAAAATGATACAAATGAGCTTATATACAAAACAGAAATAGAATTACAGACAGAAAAACAAACTTATGGTTAGCAAGGGGGAAAGGGAGCGGGAGGGATAAATAGGGAACCTGGGGTTAACAGTTATTTATTACTATATATTGGGCTGGACAAAAAGTTCATTTGGGTTTTTCTATAAGATCTTATAAAATATAAAATGGATAAACAAGGATCTACTGTATAGCACAGGGAACTATACTCAATATTTTGTAATAACTTATAACAGAAAAGAATCTGAATATATATATGTATACATGTTTATACTTATATATATATGTATGTACACGTATGTATAACTGAATCACTCTTCTGTACACCGAACACATTGTAAATCAATCAAAAACAAAACAAAACAAAAAAGCCGAGAGAAGTCAAGGAAGGTCCAGAGATTAAGAGAGACAGATTTGTCCTCCCAGAAGGAATCAGATTGTCATGAATCTTGACTGTCATTAACTCCGGACAAACCATGCTCACTCTTTTTTTTTTAATTAAAAAAATTGTTTTTTACAATGTTGTGCCGGTTTCTGCCATACAATAAGGCAAAGCAGCCATAATTATACGTGCATCCTCTCCCTCTCTAGCCTCCCTCCCTCCCCCATTCCATCCATCCAGGTCATCACAGCACCAGACGGGGTTCCCTGCGCTACGCAGCGACTTCTCCCCAGCTAGGAAGGCAATCAGTGACTTACCTGGATCTAGATTTTTCTACCTTGTTCACAGGTACAGTTATTTTATTTAACTCAAAAACTAGCAGATGCTTGATGGTAACATCAAGTTTGAATCAAGGAAAAAAGGAAAACACCAAGGACAGAAACCAGAGCAGTGGCTACCAGGGGTCAGGGGCAAAGGCGTACGAGGGAAATTTAAAACAATTTTTTTTTTTTACGCAGGAACTTTTTAGGGGAGAAGAAAATGTCTGTATGATTGTGGTGGTAGTTGTATGACTGCATACATTTGTCAAAACTCATCGAATTATACACTTAAAATTAGAAGATTTGTTTTAAATAAATTATACCTCCATAAAGCTGATTTTAAAAATCAATTCAAGGAAAAGATATAAGCTAAAGCAAGTGTCCAAGGTCGGGGTGGCGGCCGAGAGGAGCGACCTCACACCCAAGGCCAGGGGCAGCGGCTGAAAGGAGCTTCCCCAGACTTGAGATCAGGGGCGGCAGCCGAGAGGAGCAACCCCACCTACAAGGAGCGGCGGCTGCACGGGCGCAAGAGGGCTGAGAGGAGCTACTCCACGTTCAAGGTCAGGAGTGGCGGCCGTGAGGAGATACCCCTCGTCCAAGGTAAGGAGCAGCAGCTGTGCTTTGCTGGAGCAGCCGTGAAGAGATATCCCATGTCCAAGGTAAGAGAAACCCAAGTAAGACAGTAGGTGTTGCGAGAGGGCATCAGAGGGCAGACACAGTGAAACCATAATCACAGAAAACAAGCCAATCTGATCACAGGCCCACAGCCTTGCCTAACTCAATGAAATTAAGCCATGCCGTGTGGGGCCACCCAAGACGGACAGGTCATGGTGGAGAGGTCTGACAGAATGTGGCCCACTGGAGAAGGGAATGGCAAACCACTTCAGTGTTCTTGCCTTGAGAACCCCATGAACAGTATGAAAAGGCAAAAAGATAGGACACTGGATGAGGAATTCCCCAGGTCGGTAGGTGCCCAATATGATACTGGAGATCAGTGGAGAAAGAACTCCAGAAAGAATGAAGGGATGGAGTCAAAGCAAAAACAATACCCATTTGTGGATGTGACTGGTGATAGAAGCAAGGTTGAATGCTGTAAAGAGCAATATTGCATAGGAACCTAGAAAGTTAGGTCCATGAATCAAGCAAATTGGAAGTGGTCAAACAGGAGATGGCAAGGGTGAATGTCGACATTCTAGGAATCAGCGAACTAAAATGGACTGGAATGGGTGAATTTAACTCAGATGACCATTATATCTACTACTGTGGGCAGGAATCTCTTAGAAGAAATGGAGTAGCCATCATGGTCAACAAAAGAGTCTGAAATGCAGTACTTGGATGCAATCTCAAAAACGACAGAATGATCTCTGTTCATTTCCAAGGCAAACCATTCAATATCACGGTAATCCAAGCCTATGCCCCAACCAGTAACGCTGAAGAAGCTGAAGTTGAATGGTTCTATGAAGACCTACAAGACCTTTTAGAACTAACACCCAAGAAAGATGTCCTTTTCATTATAGGGGACTGGAATGCAAAAGTAGGAAGTCAAGAAACAGCTGGAGTAACAGGCAAATTTGGCCTTGGAGTGCGGAATGAAGCAGGGCAAAGGCTAATAGAGTTTTGCCAAGAGAACGCACTGGTCATAGCAAACACCCTCTTCCAACAACACAAGAGAAGACTCTACACATGGACATCACCAGATGGTCAACACCGAAATCAGATTGATTACATTCTTTGCAGCCAAAGATGGAGAAGCTCTATACAGTCAGCAAAAACAAGGCCAGGAGCTGACTGTGGCTCAGATCGTGAACTCCTTATTGCCAAATTCAGACTTAAATTGAAGAGAGTAGGGAAAACCACTAGACCATTCAGGTATGACCTAAATCAAATCCCTTATGACTATACAGTGGAAGTGAGAAATAGATTTAAGGGACTAGATCTGATAGAGTGCCTGATGAAATATGGACGGAGGTTCGTGACATTGTACAGGAGACAGGGATCAAGACCATCCCCATGTGCAATGATGTAAAGTAATTAGCCTCCAACTAATAAAAATAAATGAAAAAAAACAAAAAACAAAAGTAACTTACAGGCCCTAGATAATAAACTCCTTAAAACATGGAAAAAAAAAAAAAAAGACCATCCCCATGGAAAAGAAATGCAAAAAGGCAAAATGGTTGTCTGAGGAGGCCTTACAAATAGCTGTGAAAAGAAGAGAAGCGAAAAGCAAAGGAGAAAAGGAAAGATATTCCCATTTGAATGCAGAGTTCCAAAGAATAGCAAGGAGAGATAAGAAAGCCTTCCTCAGCAATCAATGCAAAGAAATAGAGGAAAACAACAGAATGGGAAAGACTAGAGAGCTCTTCAAGAAAATCAGAGATACCAAGGGAATATTTCTCACATAGATGGGTTCGATAAAGGACAGAAATGATATGGACCTAACAGAAGCAGAAGATATTAAGAACAGGTAGCAAGAATACACAGAAGAACAGTACAAAAGAGATCTTCATGACCAGATAATCACGATGGTGTGATCAGTCACCTAGAGGCAGACATCCTGGACTGTGAAGTCAAGTGGGCCTTAGAAAGCATCAATATGAACAAAGCTAGTGGAGGTGATGGAATTCCAGTTGAGCTATTTCAAATCCTGAAAGATGATGCTGTGAAAGTGCTGCACTCAATATGCCAGCAAATTTGGAAAACTCAGCAGTGGCCACAGGACTGGAAAAGGTCAGTTTTCAGTCCAATCCCCAAGAAAGGCAATCCCAAAGAATGCTCAAACTACCGCACAATTGCACTCATCTCACACGCTAGTAAAGTAATGCTCAAAATTCTCTAAGCCAGGCTTCAGCAATACGTGAACCGTGAACTTCCAGATGTTCAAGTTGGTTTTAGAAAAGGCAGAGGAACCAGAGATCAAATTGCCAACATCTGCTGGATCATCAAAAAAGCAAGAGAGTTCCAGAAAAACATCCATTTCTGCTTTATTGACTATGCCAAAGTCTTCAACTGTGTGGATCACAATAAACTGTGGAAAATTCTTCAACAGATGGGAATACCAGACCACCTGACCTGCCTCTTGAGAAACCTATATGCAGGTCAGGAAGCAACAGTTAGAACTGGGCATGGAACAACAGACTGGTTCCAAATAGGAAAAGAAGCACGTCAAGGCTGTATATTGTCATTGTGCTTATTTAACTTATATGCAGAGTACATCATGAGAAACACTGGGCTGGAAGAAGCACAGGCTGGAACCAAGATTGCCGGGAGAAATATCAATAACCTCAGATATGCAGATAACACCATCCTTATGGCAGAAAGTGAAGAGGAACAAAAAAACCTCTTAATAAAAGTGAAAGAGGAAAGTGAAAAAGTTGGCTTAAAGCTCAACATTCAGAAAACTAAGATCATGGCATCTGGTCCCATCACTCCATGGCAAATAGATGGGGAAACAGTGGAAATAGTGTCAGTCTTTATTTTGGGGGGCTCCAAAATCACTGCAGATGGTGACTGCAGCCATGAAATTAAAAGACGCTTACTCCTTGGAAGGAAAGTTATGACCAACCTAGATAGCATATTAAAAAGCAGAGACATTACTTTGCCAACAAAGGTCTGTCTATTCAAGGCTACGGTTTTTCCAATGGTCATGTATGGATGTGAGAGTTGGACTGTAAAGAAAGCTGAGCACCGAAGAATTGATGCTTTTGAACTGTGTTGTTGGAGAAGACTCTTGAGAGTCCCTTGGACTGTAAGGAGATCCAACCAGTCCATCCTCAAGGAGATCAATCCTGGGTGTTCATTGGAAGGATTGATGCTGAAGCTGAAACTCTAATACTTTGGCCACCTCATGCGAAGAGTTGACTCATTGGAAAAGACCCTGATGCTGGGAGGGATTGGGGGCAGGAGGAGAAGGGGACAACAGAGGATGAGATGGCTGGATGGCATCACCGACTCGATGGACATGAGTTTGAGTAAACTCCGGGAGTTGGTGATGGACAGGGAGGCCTGGCGTGCTGCGATTCACCGGGTCGCAGACAGTTGGACACGACTGAGTGACTGAACTGAACTGAACTGAAAGCAAGTGTCAGACACCCCTTGCCGTAAAAGCAAAGTATAAACTAGGAGTATCCATGTGTCTGCACGAGTTCCTGGGTTGGGCAGCCACATGCCAACCAGTGGAAACATCAAGGAATTCCTGCTACCTGTTGCCTCTACCAGGTACCAGGAATAACTAGGGCTGAGGAAGCAGCTTCATCTTCACCAGAAATAAGTAGAGATCTTGGACACATGCAGAAACCTGCTAACTCAGAGGGGCCAGGACAGGTCTTGAAATATACATGTGGTTCTCCTATGGGAGTTTTGTTTTCAGCTGCTCTGGACAGGAGGGTATTTGAGGGTCACCCCTGGGTCCTGGAATTCTCACCCAACTTAAAGCCTAAGGTTAGGAAGGTGGATCTCCTTATATCTCCTGGGCAGGCAGCATCCCCTGGAAGCAACAAAGGCAAAGAACAAGCTTCGCCTGGAGATGGATGGGGGTGGGGCAAGGGGGTGATGGGGCAGGGGAGGCAGAAACACCAGACCGCTCGCTCTGCAGAAATGGCAGGGTGGCAGCAGAAAGAAAGCCCTGCGGAGGGACTTCCCTGGTGGTCCAGTGGTTAAGAATCTGCCTTCCAATGCAGGTGACATGGGTTCGATCCCTGGTCAGGGAACTAAGATCCCACATGCCTCAGAGCAACTAAGCCCACGTGCCACAACTACTGAGCCTGCATGCCCCAGAGCCTGCGAGCTACGACGAAAGATCCCAATGCAGCCAAATAAATAAAATAGAAAAGAAAACAAACTCTACAGAGAGAGGATGCCTCTAAGCACAGTGCAATGGCCACAGGCACACAACTCTTTTCCCCAAGGCCAATGAACAATAACAGAGAAGAAAGTAAAAAGGGATCAATTCTTATAGGAGATTAGGGAAGGAGCAAGCAGCAGACAAGAGATTTCAACAACTTTTGGAAAGAAAGAAAGCCGAATGATCAGAGAGGAGGGTCCTCAGGGGAGGTGAGCTACACAACCCATAGGTACGTGCAGGCATCAGGGACCACGGAGGCTGGCACGAGGTGGGGGATGGAAAGCTGGGCTGAAAGTCTGAACCTAGCTGTTGGAACCTGGGTTCCCCTGCCAGCGGCCATCTGCTCCTCTAAGGGATCACACCTTCCAAGTCTATTCTAGAGATTCTACCCGTAAAGGCTGAGGGGCCAGGGAGGTGGCACAGCAGTCAGGCTGAAACGCAGGAACAGATGAGGTCTCCAACTCAGCCGTGAGACCGCCATCCCTCTCCCCAGACTGGCTCTCAGACACTCCGCCAGCCCTGCAGAAGGCTGGGGAATTCTTCCCTGGAAACCAGACGGGCTCCAGAAAGAGACTTTGCCCTCTATGTTTGAGGGTCACTGCCAGCGAAAAAGTGAGCTTGCAGTCTGGCCCCATGATGGGAAACCCTAGAGTCAGATCTGAGGCACTAACAGCTCCCATGCGTACTTCCAACACATCACTCTGTTTTCAACCCCTGCTCCTGCTCCGCTGGTACCCACACACGTGGAGCCCAAACTCCACAGGCCCAGCCAGCAGGAAGTGCTCTGGACTCTTCCTCTTCTTACTGTCCTCACTCATTCTCATCAGAATCCCCCTCTGCAGATGTACAGACTTAAAAATCCTGTAATCTGTTGAGTCTGTCTTCCTAGAATCTATATCCCCTTTCCATCTTGAGATATGTGCTGTGTGTGTATAAAAATACATGTTTCCTAGTTTCATTAGAGATGAAGACCTATTTCCTATTTCTTCTGTCCTTAGTCATTTTCAGATGATTTCCAAGACCCATTTTTATACCATCTTAAAACTGAATGATCAAATGACCATATCTCTAAAATGCAGCTTTTAAAGGAAAAAAAAAGTGACTTTAAAATCACCATGCAAAAAAATAAAAATAAAAATAAAAAATAAAATCACCATGCATAGTAAAATTGCATTCTTAAATGGATCAACTTGGGTTAAAAAGGCAATCATTTTTTCTTCTTTTTTTAATTTTTTGGCCACACCCCACAGCCTGTGGAATCCACTTCCCTGACCAGGGATCAAATCTTCACCCCTGCATCAGCAGCATGAGGCCTTAACCACTAGACCATCAGGGAAATCCCAAGCCAATCATTTCTATTGTCATAATACTCATTAAATGTCATAAAAAGTCACTATCAGTCCTTCAGTGTCAATAGCTGTCCACTAAGATACACTTCTTCAAAAATTCACACTGCAACTAACCACTGTGTAAAAACCCAAATGTACCTCGTATGACTTGGTTTCCAAGTCCTTAATGTAGTCCTCAGCATCGGGCAGGCTCTTGTAATAAGCCATGTTTCTCTTCATCATCTCGTCATCAGGATGCTTCAGTAGAAAGGTGTGAGCTGCTGCAATGGCTTTCGGAAGATTATTTGCCTAAAGTACAGAGAGGAGAGACGAGCTACTCAGTGGGTGGTGAGCGTCATTTCTATAGAACAAGAATGTCTGTTCAGTCCTTAGGCAATTTTGTGTTTCTACACAATGTTTCCAGCTAAGGGCTCAGTGATTTCCAAGGCCCAGCATACCTGGTCCAGCCTCTCTGCATGAGCATTCATTCCCTGTGGGTGATCGATGTACCCTCTGTGCCTGCCCTGATCTACTCTGCCATCTCCACCCTCCCCTGCCCAGGAGGATGGCATGCGGGCTGTCCCTGTGGGCTCCCTTGCCCTCCAGCTTCCAGTGGGTTCAGCCCCGACAGGGGACTGAAGGAAGGGAACAGAATAAGGCTGGTATGTTTTTGTCCTGGCTCCTTCCCTGCAAGGTCACTCCCTTAATTGAAGGTCACAGCCCTTCTCTCCATCTAGTCTCTCTCCATCCATGTTACCCCTTCTGGCCTGGGAGGTGGGTCACGTCCCACTGTCACCAGCTTTTGTAAGTAACCGCCTTATTCGTTAAGTGTTCCACCAGTTACCCCATATGACTATATCACATCTTTTCTGCCAGAACCTTGATAGATAGATCAGTATTTTCCTGGGTCTCTCACAGAACCTCTGTTTCATCTTCTCGAGGACCCCTACCACCTCCTCATTCACTCATCCATTCACTCAACAAATATTTGTTGAGAGTCTCTGCAGGATAGGTGCTGTTCTAGGAAGTGAGTCTTGGGGGGTTGGGAGGAAGATCCCTGCCTTTACATGCAAGTGAGTCCTCCCTATCTCCACAACCTCAATCAAGAGACTTTATATGAAAGTGAAAGTCACTCAGTCATGTTCGAGTCCTGGCGACCCCATGGACTATACAGTCCATGGAATTCTCCAGGCCAGAATACTGGAATGGGTAGCCTTCTCCAGGGTATCTTCCCAACCCAGGGATCGAACCCAGGTCTCCTGCCTTGCAGGTGGATTCTATACCAGCTGAACCACAAGGGAAGCCCAAGAATACTGGAGTGGGTAGCCTATCCCTTCTCCAAGGGAACTTCCCAACCCACGAATCGAACCGGGGTCTCCTGCATTGCAGGCAGATTCTTTACCAGCTGAGTTATCAAGGTATATATTTATCAGGGTATATATATATATATATATATATATTTAATTAATTTGGCTGTGCTGGGTCTTAGTTGCAGCATGTGGGGTCTAGTTTCCTAACCAGGGATCAAACCCAGGCTCTCTATATTGGGAGCGAGGAGTCTTAACTACTGGACCACGAGCCTCTATTACATCAGCCTGTCTTCTGCATTCCTGGCACCTGGCAGAGTTCCTAGGACAAGGAAGGACTCAGTAAGTACCAGTGACTTGGACAGGACATCACCACTACATATTTTCAGGAAATTAATTCATGTTTCCCTCTCTTTTCCCCTCTCTCCTGCCCATTCGGTGGTGATCAGCTGATTCTGAGTCTCACTGCCTCAGGGGAGGTCAGGACACAGAAGTATGACCAAGGCCCTTGTACTCCTTAGAGAACTTGGCAAACATGTGAAGAAGAGGAAATTGAGAGAGGGAACTGCAGGAAGAAGCTGACTGGCCTGGAAGAAGAAGACAGAGGAAGGATTTCCCTGTCAGTTCAGGACCCGAGGTTCCACTGAAGGGGATATGGGTTCAATCCCTGGCTGGGGAACTAAGATCCAGCATGCCATGCCGCATGGCCAAAAGAAAAAAAAAAAAAAACAAGGAGGAAGAGGAATCCTCTAGGCTAGAAAAAACTCCCTCCTTGGGGTCTGCAGGGGCAGCAAGGTCTGTGGCCCTTGATCCTCAGGTTTGGTACCTGCAGGCAGAGCCCAGAAGTCTTCAGGGAAGAATGAGGTGGCGTGGGGTGAGTGAAAAGGGGCACAGAAAGGGACAGGGACACCTCCCTGTGTGGACACGCAGGCAGCAAACAGAGGGCCCCCTCCCCCACCATGGATGTCATGGCCCCTCCATGCCCTGAAATCACAGCACAACCTGGGGGACGGAGGGGAGGAACCCATACATGTGCAGGGAGACTCCTTCAGCCAATCCAGAGGGACTCTCAGGGGCAGGAATTAGGGAATTCTGTTTGGGGAGAGAAAGGAATATTTGGCACGGTCTGGATTTCTGAGAATCAAAGGGCAGCAAGTAGCCTGGGCAGAAACTGCCCCAGAAACATGAGCCTAGTCATCTGGAGATAATGGCAGAGGCTGCCCTGGAGTGGCGGCTGGTGATAAGGACAGACTTCCAGAAGTCCGTGCTGATGTCTGAGGAATGCCAACTAGTGCCTGGAGTGGGACTGTCTCCCTCACCCCACTCCCCCAGGCCCCCTGGCCCCCTGGCCTCCTCTCCGGCCCCTCCCTCCCCCTAACCCCCCAGACCTCTGTGGAAGAGCGTAGCCCTAACCACCTGACCACCGTGGAATTCCCGTTACTGACTTTAAGTGATTGTCACAAGACCTGTAATGGGTTTTGAAGAGAAGTTATGAATTTCCTAGCCTTTGCGGATGCCACGATGGACGAAACCCCTACCTTCCGGTCACCCTGAATTAAATGTTCCTCCCCTTTTGCCTCGTTTCATATTCATCCATATTTTAAAGAAATCAGAGCTTCCATTATTCTCCAGGTTTAAAAATAAAACGTTTCCCCCTTGATTATATGACTCAAATTTGACTCAGACTGTATATGCCAAAAGCTCTACAAAAAAAGGATTAATGAGTCTTTTTCAGCGTAAAAATATAGTGCTTGTATGAGTCAGCCATCATTTCTGAGTCCCGGAAATGTATTAATCTCATCCCTGGTCTATTTTAAAACTGTTTTTGTTTGTTGGTTTGTTTGTTTATTGCTAGGACAAACATTCACAAATGTGATACTTATATAAAGCTGTAGCAGGCATAGAAATAACCCAGTTTTTCTCCTATTTAGGGTTTTGTGCTATTTTATGACCCATATGAATGTAACATACACGTGGACCCGTTTCAGAGAAATATGAAAAGCAGATCTTGCAGCCCAAAGACACAGAGTTTACCAAATCGTTTTCCAATAAAGTGGAAACAGCTTAAAGAGGGCTCTCTTGGTAAAACCCATTGAAGACGTGCCAAGCTAAAGCCTCTTTATCCAGTTAACAGGGAATTCAGCCCATTCTTAAAACTTCGGGGTCCCCCGTGTAAGGACTTAGAGGGTAGACAACTGCAACCTGTGGCTATTTTTAGCCAGCAGTCACAGACTGGAATGCAAGCCGTCCCAAAAAGGAGGAAGACAAGCGCGTTACACCGTAGATGAAAGCCAGCGTAGCGCGCCGGCCCTGACGAATCACAGCGCTCGGGTTCTCCTCCTCCGGGCAGGGAAGTGGCCTTCCAAGGAGCCCCGCCCTTTTCTGGCCTTAAGTTCCCGTTTAAAGGAGACTGGTCGGCCCCGCAGGTCTTCTTCCGCCCTACTCACTTGAGAAGAGGGATTTTGATGGTATCTACCAAAAACGGAAGTCTGTCTTCAAATAACACTGTGCTAGTCGTTAGATATACATCCTCTGCCTCAGAACCACCCCCTTCAAGGAAAGTATTTTTCATCTTTATCTATGAAATAGAATACGGGGAAGAGGATTTGAAGGCCTCCCCTAGCGACGCTAAGTGCGACAGAACTAGGTCAAGAAGGCGGTGGGACCGGACCCAGGACACAGGCACACCAGGCAGGGGTCTAGGGGCGGGCCTAGGGGCGGGGCCTGGGCGTGGGCGGGGCGGGGCCTAGGCGTAGGGCGGGGCGGGGCCTAGGCGTAGGGCGGGGCGAGAGGACTTGCCTTGAAGTAGGCGAACTGCAGGAACTTGTAGGGCTCTCGGCGCTGGAAGTCCGCCAGTACTTCGCGGCTGGGCTGCGACTGGCGGAAGGCCGGCAGGCCCTGCTTGCAGCGTTTGAGGCAGTGCGCGCGGCGCAGCAGGCCCCCGAAGAGGCGCAACTCCGGGTGGCGCGCGAGGCCGGCGGCGGGCTCGGGCTGCGGCGCCGCGCTGCAGTTGCGGTGGCAGAAGGCCTCGCTGTCTCGTAGCAGGCGGTGCAGCCGCAGGCTGATCTCCAAGTAGCCCACGCTCTCCGCCCAGTGCTCGCTGCTGTACTGGTCCAGCGCGTGCCGGTAGGCCGACTCGAGCGGCATCAGCTCGTCCCGCGGGAAGCTGCGGAAGCTGTAGCGCTCGTACTGGGCGCGCCCCGAGGGCAGCGTGCACACCGCACACAGCAGCGCCAGCAGCGCCGCGGCCGCCCGGCGCCCCAGCTCCATCGCTCCCGGCGGAAGGAAGGAAAGAGAGGAGAAAGAAGGAAAGGAAAAGGGAGCCGAAAGCTGAAGAGGCGGAGACGCCAGCCTCAGGCCCGCCCCGTCCGGCCGCCCCTCCCCACCCAGCCGGGGGGTCCGGGCGAAGCTGCCCGTACGGGGAGGGTGTCCTAGGGAGGCGCGCTGCCCTCTAGTTCCTGCGTGTCTAACCCGTGATCCCCGGCTCCGCTGATTGCTCCTTTAGAGAAGGCGGCCTGGAAGCCAGACGCGGCCCTGATGGATCAGCGCTGCTTAGACTTTAGAATCATTTAGAGGACTTTTGAAAAACGCAGATTCACAAGTGACTCCAGAGTTTCTCTTTCACCAAATCTGGCTGAGATGGGGATCTGAGGGTTTGCAGCTCTAACCAGCACCCTAGTGAGGCTAATGCTGCGGGTCCACGGCCTACACTTTGATGATAGCAAACGACCTTACATTTCAGTGAGAGAGAGGGAGTGCATATATAAAATTAATAAGGATGTCGGTGGCACTTTGTAAACTATTGAGCTAATCAAGTTGAAGATGCACACACCTTATGATTGCGATTCCACGCTTCAGAATACGCTCGAAAAACGTGTATGTGTGCATCAAAAGATGTGGATGAAATGTTAAAGGCAGTACTGTTATTTTATTATTATTAATTTTTTTGGCCGCACCGCGCGACTTTCAGGGATCTTAGTTCCCTGACCACAGAGCACACCCGTCCCAGCAGTGGGAGCGCCAAGTCCTAACCAGTGCACCGCCAGTGATTAAGTCCCAGCATTGTAATTTTAATTACTTAGATTTTTTATTTTTAAATAATTTACAAGAAATTGCAAGGATAGTACATACAACTCCTATATATCCTTTATACACATTCACAAATGAATAACTTATGCCACATTTCTTTTTCTGAATCATTTGAGAGAAGATTGCATACATCAGGCCACTTACCCTTTCATCTTTATGTATGTCCTAGGAACCGAAACTGTGTGTGTGCTCAGTCGTGTTTGACTCTTTGCAATCCCATGGACTGTAGCCTGCCAGGCTCCTCTGTCCATAGGATTCTCAAGGCAAGACTACTGGAGTGGGTTTGCCATTTCCTTCTCCAGGGGATCTTCCCGACCCAGGAACTGAACCCGTGTCTCCTGCATCGGCAGGCGGATTCTTTACCACTGCCCCACCTGGCAACTAAACTACAATGCTCAAATTCATTAATGATCAAATTCACTAATCTATATCCCCTATTCCAGTTTTGTCAACTAATAATGTTTTTTACGGGCTTCCGTCGTGGCTCCGCAGTAAAGACTCTGCCTCCAATGCAGGAATTGGGGATGCACTGGTGGCTCAGTGGTTAAAAAAAAAATCTGCCTCCCAATGCAGGAGACACAAGGGAGGTGGATTCAATCCCAACTGTTGTTGTTTTGACTAAACAACAACAACAATGTCTTGTATAGCACGTTCTCCCCCTGGGCAAGAAACAGTCCAATATCATGTATTGTATCTAGTTGTTTCTTCTATCTAATGTTCCAGAATCTGAACCTTCAGATTTTATTGTTATGCTATTGACACTAAGAGTACGGGTCGAAACAACAGTGAGATCCACCACATGCCTATTAGAATGGCCAAAATTCAAAATACTGACAGCAGCAAATGCTGACAAGGATGCAGAGCAACAAGAACTCTGTTCATTGCTGGTGGGAATGTGAAATGGTAGAGTCACTTTGGAAAGACAGTCTGGCAGTTTCTACCAAACTAAACATACCCTGCCATACCACCCAGCAAAATTAGATTCACTGATATTGACTGAAATAAGGTGAAAATGTTTATCCATACAGAAACCTACACATGAATGTTTACAGCAGCTTTTTTTACATAATGGCTAAAACTTGGAAGCAAACAAGATGTCCTTCAATGGGTGAATGAATGAACTGTGGTACATTCACATCCAGACAATGGAATATTACTCAGCACTAAAGAAATTAGCTATCATGCCACAAAAAGACATGGAGGAAACTTAAATACATTTTACTACGTAAAAGAAGGTTACATATGAAAAGGCTATATACTGTATGATTCCAACTATATATGACGTTATGTTTGGGGGTTTTATTTATTTGGTTTTTTTTTGTTGGGTGCACCACACTGCTTGTGAGATCTTAGCTCCCCAACCAGGGATTGAACCTGGGCCCTCGGCAGTGAGAATTTGGAGTCCTAGCCAGCGGACCAGAAGGGAATTCCCCCAACTACATGACATTCTGGAAAAGGCAAAACTCTGAGAACAGTAAAAGGATCACTGATTGCCAGGTGTTACGGGGAGACAGGGAGAAACAGGCACAGCACAGAGGATTTTAGGGCAGCGAAAGTATTCTGTGTGATACTATAATGGTGGATGGATATCATACATTTCTCAAAACCCAAAGAATATGCAGTATCAAGAGTGAACTCTAATGTAAGTCATGGGCTTTGGGTGATTATATTGAGTCAAAGTAGCTTCATTGGTTGTACTAGGTGTGCCTGTCTGGTGTGGGATTCTGATAACGGGAGAGGCTGTGTGTATGCAGTGGTGGAGGGTAGATGGAAAACCTCTGTGCCTTTCATTCAACGTTGCTTCAAACCTAAAACTGCTCTAGTCTATTTTTAAAAAGAATACAGGGGTCTTCCCTGGTGGCTCAGTGGTAAAGAATCCGCCTGCCAATGCAGGAGACACGGGTTCGATTCCTGGTCCCAGAAGTTCCCATATGCCTCAGAGCAACTAAGCCCATGTGCCACAACTACTGAGCCTATGCTTTAGAATCTGGGAGCTGTAACTATGGAGCCCACGGGCCGCCTACACCCCATGCGCCTAGAGTCCATGCTCTGCAACAAAAGTCTGAACACTGCAACAAGAGAGTAGCCTCTGCGATAAGAAAAGCCTGCACAGCACGGAAGACCTAGCACAGCCAAAAGTAAATAAGATTATTTTTAAGAATACAGGCCACTTATTTTATAAAAAGTCCTCCATTGAGGTTCCTCTGCTGTTTCTTCATGATTAGATTCAGATTAAGGTCTTTGGACTAGAACAGCGCCCAGGCAAGAGACTGATACTGGTCTGTGGTCTGTTGGGAACTGGGCCACAACAGGAGGTGAGCGAAGCTTCATCTGTATTTGTAGCCACTCCCCATCACTCTCCCATCACCCCTAGATGGGACCATCTAGTTGCAGGAAAACAAGCTCAGGGCTCCCACTGATTCTACATTATGGTGAGTTGTAGAATTATTTCATTGTCTATCACAATGTAATAATAATAGAAATAAAGTGCACAGTAAATGTAATGCACTTGAATCATCCCAAAACCATTCCCCCCACCCACCCTCCCACACCCCAGTCCATGGAAAAATTGTCTTCCATGAAACTGGTCCCTGGTGCCAAAAAGGTTGGGGACCACTGGACTAGGATGCGGTCCTTCTCAGATGTCACTGGAGGAACCCACTGTCAGCCCCTTATTGTTGATGTTAATTGTGATTACCTTGTTAAGGTTGTATCCATTTTCTCCACATCATTTTTTTCTTTGTATTTAATAAGTGTTTTTGGTATGATACAGCAGCACAGTTCCTAATGGCAGAAAGCAGAAATAACCTGTGTAAAAACAAAAGTGCATTTTTTTTGTTTGTTTGTTTGTTTAGAGAGAAGATGCACACATAGGAGAAAATTTTACAGCAGGGAAAAATAAAAGAATTACAGCTATACATAACAACACAGTTTAGCCTTAAAAAGAATGACTCCACTTGTCTAAAGTTTAAAAGTATGCTAAAGCACACAAAATATTATTTAGGAATGCAAGTAACAGAGTCCTACCTCATACAAACAAATACGGTTTTCCCAGCAGTCATGTATGGATGTGAGAGTTAGATTATAAAGAAGGCTGAAAATGAAAGTTGCTCAGTAGTGTCCAACTCTTTGCTATCCCATGGACTGTATAGTCCATTCTCCAGGCGGGGATACTAGAGTGGGTAGACTTTCCCTTCTCCAGGGGATCTTCCCAACCCAGGGATCAAACCCAGATCTCCTGCATTGCAGGCAGATTCTTCACCAGCTAAGCCACGAGGGAAGCCCAAGAATACTGGAGTGGGTAGCCTCTCCCTTCTCCAGGTGATCTTCCTGACCCGGAATCGAACCAGGGTCTCTACATTGCAGGCGGATTCTTTACCAACTGACCTATCAGGGTGCTTTTGAACTGTGGGGCTGGAGAAGACACTTGAGAGTCGCTTGGATGGCAAAGATCAAACCAGTCAATCCTAAAGGAAATCAACCCTGACTCTGCATTGGAAGGACTGATGATGAACCTGAAACTCCAATACTTTGGCCACCTGATGCAAAGAGTCGACTCATTGGAACAGACCTTGATGCTGAGAAAGATTGAGGGCAGGAGGAGAAGGGGCAACAGAGGATGAGATGGTTAGATAGCATCACCAATTCAATGGACAAGAGTTTATGCAAACTCCAGGAGAAAGGATAAGACAGCCTGGTGTACTGCAGTCCATGGGGTCACAAAGAGTCAGACATGACTGAGAGACTGAACAGCAACATACAAACATACAAAATAAAACTATAATGAAAAAGGAACCATAAACAAAACTTTTGGATCATGATTTCCTATAAGGTAGAAGGCCCCTCAGGTGACTTAAGTGACAAATTCTCTTTAGTACCATGAATTGATTCATTCTTTCACTATACTAGTCAGCAAATACCTTAGACCAGGTCCGGCCCTTGGCAAGGAATGCAAAGATGAATCAGACGTACATCCTTGACTGCAAGGGACTTCCGGTTCAGTAGAAATAAGACATCTATATTTTTTTGCATTTGTTCCATTAACCTATAGTAAACTATTGTGTGACAGGCACTGTATTAAAGAAATATCAACTTGTTCCCTCAAAGTCTTGAGAAGACAGATAAGCAAACCTTTGATTACCCACCATTAGAGCTGGAGAGAGTGTTATGTGGACCCCAAA